TATAATCAACATGCCATATACCGGCGTGGTCGTAGTTTAAAATTCTATTCCGCGTCATGCTATAGCTCGGTGGGCGTCGTTTAAATCTAAAACGTCATTCGCGGTGGAGGGAGGTTGGGGGTGCTCTGGCCCTTAAAAGCCGCGAGTTATAAATGTCACAATAAATTCTATTTCCATTGTTGCGCATACTTTAGATCTTACAAGCGCGAACGCGCGAGTTGAGCCGAGCTGTATTATTAACCTACTTATGCTGTACGGATAGTTGGAATAAACGACAACTATATCTCGCGATTACGGAGGAGTGAATTGTAATGGGCGCATTCGGGGACGGTGCAGAGGGGAGATCTGCGTGTCCGAAGATAAATGATTAATAAAATTATATGTACGCGACTGAGTAATGAAGTTGCCTACATGCAGCATGTTAAGCCCTGCTAGTCCTGCAGCCCTCGCTGCAGCGAGTTGGCCGAGGCTGTGAAGTGTCTATTTGCATACTCAACGTAAACGCCAGCGTCAGCGAAAAGGCCACCTTGTCCGTTTGTCCAGAAACAATGTTTCCCGTTCGTCGTGATTTTTGCCGGCCGCCGGCAGCGGTGTTGGTTTAATAGCGGTGTAACAAATAATATTAACGCGATAAAAATCGCGCGACGATTTAGCACTGAATGGTGGTGATAAACCCTCCGCTCGGGCTGATGCGAGTGTGACGCTTACGTTGGCGCGAAAATAAAGTACACCCACGACAATTTTGTGAAATAGCAATAGAGGAGGGAAACTGTTAGATGCCTTATATTTCAGAATTTCGAAGTTACAACTTCTCGGACAATTAATTGTTGCGACTGACTGTGCAAACATGATGATGGAATGCATGATTGTATGCACTGTTCCCCTCAAAATACATTACACTAAAAAAGGTATACGATAGCAACGCACCCTTGAAGCCATTTAAATCCGGTCACGCGGGATAATATTGATTAAGGCAACGATAATGTAACGTGCGCGATCGACGGAACGCTGGAAGACGCGCGGTCGGCAGGAGATCCTAGCGTGTTCTCCGGCGGCTACGACGAATTACGGTATTTCGCGTGATAGGTCGATGATCCCCGCGCGGCGCTTTCGGCCCGACGTTTCAGAGCGGCGGAGCGATATTCCGCATCGCGTTAACCATGCTCGTCAATATCTTGCTTCTGAAAAAATAGCACGGGCGCGGAATAAGCGTGACAGCGAGTTATGACGAGAATATCGTAAGCAGCTTCCGAATATCGTTGCGCCCCGCGAAATCGCATCGATCCGTCGCCGTGCTAATCAGACGCCATTCTTTTCGGAGACTTAAAATATCGACAGGTACATACCACCACCGGCGCGACACTAAATACCTCCGCCGAGCTTGAAATCGATAAAAAAAGAGAGAGAGAGAGAGAAGGAAATTATCGCGCTCAACGGCGTAACGCGACGCGGCCCCCCTCGATAACGCGAGCTTTCAAAGTGGCGCGAGTCCGTATGATTTTAATTAAAAGATACGCGCTGCAAGCTCGTTCGCGAAACAACGCGTTACGCGTTACGGTGCTCGAAAAATGTGGGCATGGCGCTTTTTACACCGAGTAGTTGCACGTTTTGAGATCGCGTTTCGACACACCGTGGCTATTTTTCGCAACGCGAAATTAACGCGAGCCGGCCGATACGTGTCGCACACGCCGGCGAGTACTATCGGGAGGAGTCACTCGAAAGCCTCAAATTGGAAGAAGTTTGCGGCAACTACGGCTGTTCTGGCGTGCGAAACTAGCCGAAGAGTCTCGCCCGAAGTCTCACTTCGAATCGGTTATCCTCGCGAGTCGATAGGGTCGCAATTACACAACTTTTACTTCCGACCCAGTTCGCGCTCCGTATAAAATCATTTCGCGCGAGCTTTACTCAAACCGGGATCCCGGATAATGGACAATAATCGCGAACAAATCTCGGGCAAATTCTATGCCGTCTTCTCTCTCTCTCTTTCTCTCTCTCTCTTTCTTATTCACTCTCTTTCCCTTTCACGCCAGCGTGCTCGATTTTTCTAATATCGCAGAACTTTCGCAGTTGTCGCGTCGCTTCGCGAAAGCTTCCGTGCTTATTAGATTCGAGTCTTTGCGGGAGACAACGCGAGAGACCGATCTCGCCCACCGAAGAGAGTTTGTCACGTGCGGGCGATGCTTCGACTTCTGGACGCGCGCGTTTCCACCCATCGTACTCTTCCAGTGTAACTTGCAGTCTCGAAAGTGGCCGGAAGCCAACTGTTTAATCGTTAAACAGTTACCGGCTACCGGAGCGATACTTATTCTGAAAAGTAGCGCGCCAGTCTAACGAGATTCAATTGCGGAAGAGTTCAAGGCGAGACTTTCTCTCTCTCTCTCTCTCTCATCCTCAATATTCCATCGGACGCGTAGATCCGTCGGAATGAAATTCTTGTCGCGGAAGTCTCGTTTTAAGGAACGCTCGGCCGTTACCGTTCTGAGCGATGATGCGCACGCGTCGGCGAACGGTAAAACCGGGGGGCCAGGGAGAAAAAAGAGGCAGGATAAAGGAAAAAGCGCGCGAAGAGATAGAACTGACGAAAGGCCTGCGGGGAGATTCCCTCCGATCGGCCCGACAATTCGATTATCCCCGGCCGATTGGATTTTCCGCGCCGCGTCCATCAGGAGTAAATTATTTCGTACTACGGGACGGCAACCGTTGCGCAGCAGCCGTTGGTGCAGCGCGAGCGACGTCGCATACAAAAATAAGGGTCGCTTGCACTTTACGGCTGATGCATCTTTCATGTAACTTGCGCGTTTCGAAAGTTGGCGCGACGCGGCGCGCGCGTAAGTTCGGATTCCGAGGTCGGGCGAGTCGGCAGGCGTTTTGAAAATCGACGCGCGGCCCGTCGATCGCCCGAGAAATTTATCAAAGCGAAACATACACGGGGTTATCGAGACTGCGAAGCGATCGCTCGCTCAGTCCGATATTCGTTTGCTGGCCCGCCCATATCGGAGCCGACCAGCAGCAGCGAGCTCCTCCTATCGACTCGCTCGGGACCATCTCAATGATTGTTCATTGAGATTCAGCGATGAGAGTTAATTACTTTCGTGCAAGTAGCTCAGTACCAATCGATCGATCGGCGATTGAGCGTGTTAAGTTAAATATCGTACATCAAATTAGCGCGGATAGGGGGGATTCTTCTCTATTAAATTTCACGAATATTCTGACGATTCCATCGTAATATCGCAACACTTTTGCAATCCTCTCTTTCGTTTCCATCCCATCGCACCTCTGGTGGAAGTGACTTGTTGAGAATCGACGCTCCGGCGTAGAGATAACTGTCTACAGTTCAATAGACAAAAATGCCACGTTGTTCATTTTAGACGAAAAGTCAATTCTCTTCGTCATATTTGCTCTCTCGAAACTAAGTCTCTTGCATCTGTGCGAAGTGTTCGTGACTCGGGGGCATCATTTTGCCACGATTTACCTTTCAGGGGTCGTATTCAGTCGTTTCCTCTTCTTATAAGACACTCGGCTTCATATGTCGCTTGGCAAATACTTGAAAAATGTAAACACGCTGTTCCACGCTTGTATCCGAGGTTAGAATATTGCTTCGTTATATGGTCTCCTTATCTCAAGTACCAAATTGTTTCGATCGAGCTAGGAAAAGCGGCGCACATCTCGATTGAGGTCCCTAAGTAGTTTTATTTCTCACTTACCAGACAGAAGTTAACACAACTGTCCGGTAATTGCTTAAAATATGCGTAAAATTTCTTTTGTTGTTCGTTTGATTAATCGTGTTTCATTGCTTTGTGGTTGGGCCTGATGTCAGCTATTAGCTGTTGCCTCACCAGTTAAATACATGTCATCCTACAGATCTCTTAATGTCGTTGAACAATTCTGTATTATACTCAATAAAGATAATAATAATAATAATAATAATAATAATAATATCATCATAATATCACACGCGTTTTCGACAAATCCGCGAAGGGATTTGCAGCCGCGGAAAAACACAAGGCCATCTCTCTCGCCGCAATCAGCGAGCCGATAATAAATAAATGCGGTATGCATACAAACGGGAAAGCCCGGTAATGGAATATATAACAAAAGCTGTCGCGTGTAAAATAAATTACGGTACATATATCGCGGAAGTTATTAATATAAATTAGGTCTCGTAGACGCGCGGGATACTTCCGAAGAGCGCGGAGGGGATAAAGCGAGTTTAGAAGGATCCCCTCGATTTTGATAGAATTTGTTAAAAGTTGGTATACGAGCATCGCGCAAAAATCGTCGGGCGGTGCTCGCGCAAAGTTTAAAGCTCCAAGTTCTAACTTCCCGGCTTCTTGATCCAGCTGGAAGCTTACCTTATCTCATCTAGAAACTATTCTCTTTGGAGAAACACACGATATAACATTAATCGAGGGAACACATGGTGTTGCCTGACGCTGCAAAATGGAAACAACATTGGGTGAGTGCGGTCGAAACCTGATTCCGACGTCATTCAACGTACGTATGCGCGTTTGTACGTTCGTGAGATATTGCGTTCGAATATTGAGTTTCCGCCTCTTTGTGTGTGTGTGTGTGTGTATGTGTGTGTGGAATAAGACTAAGAAAGTGGTATATATAATCCTCTACACATCTATCATGACACAATTGATTATGACCCAGTAAAGAGAGTGTCCTCGATTACCCCGTCCATACCAACAAGGGATCCCCGTCCATACCTTCCTCGTGGATCTCTCCGTCTATGTTCCCGTGAGTCTCAACATATATTCGTTACACGTTATACGATAAAAATTCATATCGGCCACATGAAAAACACAAGTTATTGAAGACACACCACGAGAAGGGTCAAGGATGATATCCGGCAGCTTGAAACCGAGGATGGCGATACAAATGTGTAAAAATGTTTAAAATATGCATCAAAGGGAGGTACCAGAGATAGAAAGAATGTGAATGAGAGGTGGAGAGAGAAAGAGAGAAAATGGAAGAGAAAGAGGCATGCGACTCACCAATGCCTGGGCGGCGCTCTGGTGCTGCAAGCAAGAAACATCCAGTTACAATCACAATAACGACAATCAATTAATGTTTCTTAGTAGCTCGTGATAAACGCTAGTGATAAACAGTTAAACAGTAATGCGGTGCCGACGAAAGCATGAACATCGACTGGGTAGCACAGAGAGGACACACCGACAGAAGTATATGCAGCCGTAGAAGCTGGATGCTCTCATAAATCGGCGGTTACGATTCGCGCGCGTATCGAGAGAGAGTCTCTCCAACGAGGTGATCGAACGCTCTCGATACGATGAGGCGGTGTGTGACTGACTTCGTGACTGCTGGGCTATCTCGATCACTCGTATTTTTCCAACTTCTTCTTCTTTTCGACACGAGACTGACCGCACGGCCACATGTTACTTGTAAAATACGCGGGCCCGTTAGTTAAGGCACTAATGGAGTGCGCTTGTCGCTTGTCTATTGCTGTCGACGCCGCGAATAACGTGGAGTAGTAACGACGATAAACGAATTTCATTAACCGACCTTTAACCAGTTTAGCGCGCAACGGCCGATCCTTGTTCTTCAAAAAGCGCGCACTGGAAAAAGGGATTTGGCAATAAAATTTGGCGAATATTCGCCGAGCAAATATTTGATTTTACCGCAAACGAATAATTGAGTTCCGTGTACTAAATATGCAGAACAACACGCTGTACGATCAGCAAGCTGAGAAAAGGAAATTGAAATTTTGCGAAGTAAATGTTTCCTGTGTGTTTTCTTCGATATTTGTTGGATAAAAAGAATTTGATTGTAATGACGGGATATATATTTTTGTGAAACATACTCAGAATTTTCTCATTAATTAGTTGATTTGCTAGGAATAAAATATTAATGTTAGTTTCTTAACACAGAAATATGAATTTTAGTTTATTAACACAAATAAATTTTGAAGTATTTCTTCTCAGTGCAACCCCGGTCTCTCCCTGCTGTATTACAGTAATCAAATATTTAGTCGACATTTACCAAATTTTAGTATTTATTACCAAATCCTTTCAGTGCATGCGTTCGACCGATCGGCCGTCGAATTTCTCCTTGTCCGCGGAAAAACAAGGGAAAATCTCAGCCTCCTGCCCTCGAAGCTGAGCTGTGTGCATATTTCGAGAGCATGCGTTCTCGCTAAGGAGGAAAGGGAGGAAAGCCTAGCGCTCGTTCGCATATCTAGTTACATTCGCAAGAGTAACACTGAAAAGGTCGATCCTACCGGCGATCGGAAAGCACATAGCGTCGATGAGATTTGAGAACCGACGGCATTACCACCGTCCTCGTGTTACGTGGTCACTAATGGACCCGATTGTTTTATCAATCGCCTATCTCGCACGACTTTGTTTTATTTGCACGTGTTGTTCGTGAAAGCGTTACACGCAGAAAAAAGAGAGAAAGAGAGAGAGAGAGAGGGGGGGGGAGGGAGGGAGGGATGACCGTGCGCGCGTTACATAAAAATATTTATCCGCGTAAGCACCGCGACGCTGTCATAGTCAGGCCATTGTAACTCGTTTCGAGATTTAGTGTTTTTCGCGGGGAAAGTCGAAAAAAGAACGAGAGGTAGCGTTTGTGACAGTTTAAAACGGGAAAAAGCGGTGTCGCGATGTGTGACGTGGATATGACGCGGAAGGAAATACGGCGGTTTGGAAATGCAAGAGCGCGCGACTCCCCGCCGAGCTTCATCTGAAACCCCGGGGAAGCACGTCGCAAGGCAACTTCGTCGTCATCGCTGTTGTTGTCTTCGTCGTCCCTGACGTCAGCCGATGTCAAACGACGCGGAAAACATGGGATTGACACTCAAGAAATTAAAGCACTTTCCTTGGAAGATGAATTTCGCGGCGTAGGCGTAAACACGTGATAGCCGGCGAATCGCTGTCACTCCGAACAGGAGCCGGGAAAAAAAACGGAGTTCTCGGAGGGACGGGGGCGTTCGGGGGAATGAGGGCGCGTCGGAGTAAGATAATATTATTCGACGTTAAGCGGCGCCGGGAACCGGAACACCGGCTTTACGAGCAAATTTCGTCTCGAGTCGTATAATCCGACTGCGCGAACTCTCGCGATTTTCGTTCACGGAAGTGTGTAATGCCCGCCGTCGCGATATCGGCCTCTCTCCGCGGGAAGGAAAATCAATATTCCGAACGGCCGGTCCTTTCGGCACATGCGACAAAATCCAACCTCGGGAGAGCTCGACCGGCGCGTGCGAGGAAAATAACTTTCGAGGCGCGCACAATAACGGCAATGCCAATCTTATCGAGACTCAGACTGCCAGAGAGCGAATATTCATGAGGAGATTAGTAGATGAGCGCGAACTCGTTGTAATTAACGGGGAACGTTCGCGAGAATGGAGCAGCGAGGAATGTAGCGCGTGGTAGCTTTCACGAGAAGTCGCAAATGCCGGGGCGCGAATACATCGAATTTCCGCGTCAGCGTTTGCGTGATGATAATAATAATAACAAACAAAGTTACACCTTCGCATCTTTCTATCGTATACGCGAGCGACGAGCGCGCCGCACCCGGGATTAATCATCCTGTACCTGTGTGTGTGTGTGTGTGTGTATTTAATTAAGTCGTCGATTTATGATAATGCGACCGGTCGGGTTTGTTAGAGCGAGAAAGTAATCGGTAAGTAACAGGTCGGCCAGATAGGATAGCTCGTTACGGGGACCTCAAAGCGCATTACAGTATTCCGTGACGATAAAGTTGACGAGTCGCCGAGCACGGTTGGACAGGAATAGCGAGCAAGGCGATGATCGCATTAAGAAACATAGTGAAAAAGAATAAATGGTGGAAAATGACAGAGGTGGTAAAACTCGCGTTTTCCATCGCCGAACGCAAATATTCCTAAGCAAATAATCATTCTACCTTCGTCCCTTCCTTTTTTTTACCGTCACCGTTGACAAACGAAAAGATTGTTACACGCGACACGCAAAAGTTTCGAAGCGATAAATTCACTTCCGATTAATTCACGGTGCTTTCTCTCTCTCTCTCTCTCTCTCTCTCTTTCTCTTCGCACGTCACGATCTCGAGGATAATCCTCGAGTAAAATGAACGTCCGAATTGGAAATTCTCCGCGAAACCGATACGGCCGTGTGCGTGAAAAATGCGAAGAGCAGTCGCTGAAGATCATACGAAAGCGACGGAGTCGATGAGACCGGCCGCATCCTCGATCAGGATATTTCCGTTCGCGAAATCACGTGAAGGAGATCGGCGATGAATCTCCGGAATATTTATACGTTTACGGTCTCGCGTCAAACGGACACTCGCGAATTTGATTAACGCGCGCGCGCACCGTCGTGCGACTAAATAAAACCGTTTCTTGAGACGAGCTGAAAGCTGGAGTAGTTTTCGGGCTCGGGCGTAGTTAGACGCGCGGCATTCACGGAGACTGCGTGCCGCGAGATTAATGCGTCATCTTCAGCCTCGTTTGGTGTAAGCCAAATGCGAGATACATTTTAGCTCGATTCCTCCGCAAGCTTAATCTCCCGCCGCAGCATTAAAGCCCGCATGAATGAAATGCAAATTTGCGAGAAGCGACGCGCGCGGGCGCGTTTTCTTTATTACAATCGTCGTGTCGATAAATCTGAAGGTAATTCCACTTGGTACTCCACGCTTATCCATCGACTTCGGTCATTGGTTTCCCAGATAGAAATTAATCGGGGCCTGCTCCAAACCTTGCATTGAGAAATCCATCTATCCATAGTCGAACCAAATAAAATTCTTGCGTGGATGTGGGCAAACAAATGTTTTGGTTATAAAAACCAAGATTTGGTTTTCTGAACCGAACCTTTTTCATTTTCACGGCCCGGTTTTTCATTTCCCGGTAACTTGTGGTTCAGACTTCAACTGACGATGATGATGCAGAAATTGTCTTCCTATTCATGGTTAATCATTAAACTGACAGTTTTGTCAGCGGTTAATTTTTCAAGTTTAATGCTTTCGTACGTCGTATGTTATTTGTGATGCAAACTTCTTCAGTTTAAAAACCAGACAAAATTCTTGCTCGCCCATGTCCAGTCGGACCTTATATTTAAAGTCTATTTAATTTCACCTTCAGATACTGTTCGGCTACGAACCGTCCGCGGATGAACTTGAGGCCCTTAAATATAAGGCCCGACTGCGGATAATAGAAGAGCGTGCCATTCGAGCGAGGTGCAACAACGGCGATAATAATCGACACGTCGAGAGGAGGAATATAGGAACTTTCCGCGCGCATTCAGAGCATTCATAGGTTGATCGTATAATGCAAGAGTGTTCTGTACACTGTGGAGTAACTACGTAAGAGCTCTTAATGAAATTAGCTCCGTTAAAAACCCTCCCCCCGATTCTCACTGAGAGGGAGATTATTGCGAGCAAACGGATCGCGCAAAGTTGCTCGCCGATTAAATGTGAAAGAAGGTCGCGGGATGACGTTAACCCAAATCACGCTCCCATGAAAGCCGCTCATACGCGTCACTTCGGAAGTAGAGCCATCACTTCGCGGCCGGTCAGAATTGCGTTTCAGCTACTCGCTCTACGATAATTGCCGGCTATCCGGTCGAACCGCGACCACGGCCTGTTGTCGAGAATTTGATTCGGCGGCGTCATCGTCGTCAACGTCGTCGCGCACCACCATCGATATCCACGCCGGTAATTTTCCCATCCATTATCTCGTCCTTTTTTTTAGACGTTCTCGTCGATTTATCATTCTAGATTGCGCGGGCACGAATATATTTTCTCTCTCTCTCTCTCTCTCTTTTTTCCTTCGCCCGAGACAAAGGAGCGGATTATGACGGGAGATTTACGGCGGCAATTATAACACTGATCGCGACTACATCGATCAGGTCGACCTATACCGGCGCGTATATTCGAAGAATAACATCCCAAAAGGAGTTCAGCGTGAACGTACTCTCCTAGTGAGAGGGTGAGGGGAAGGGAAGCTCGGTGCGAGAAGAACAAGGTGGAAACCGCGCGTATATTTTAAACAACGACCGATGTTAGATAACGCGGATTAGTTACGGTTATT